GTAAAACAGTGGGATTTTAGCTTGTGCTAAAGGAGCGCTGCTCCCAGTGCAGCCTGAAAATGCTGGGAATGTTTCATTCATACCAGTGGCCATCTCTCACCTTTCGTTTCCAGTCTCCTGGCCTGGAGGATGAGTTACACAGTGCTGGAGCCGGTCTCACAAGCACAACGCAAACGCATCCTGAGGGCCGTGGTCTGCCATGAAGTTGATCTTGCTTCCACTGGGTGGCAGAATCCGGCTCCTTATAGAGCATCCCAGATAAGCCCAACAGCAAAGCCTTGGCAGGTTTCAAAGCAGTTCCTTCTCATGCTGTTCAGGCTGGGTTTGTTTTCTTTATGTGCCTTTAAAATGGGGCAAATTAAGGGATTTCAGATTTTCTATCAAGCACTCACTGCATGCAAGTGGAATGCATATGGTGTAATCTTGGTAAGAAAAGGGTGAGTGAGCAGCAAAGCCCTCTTTTGCCATAGCAAGTAGGGTTTCTGCTTGTCCTGCTAAATGCCCATGTTTGTGCTGCAAGCTGGTAGAGCTTCATTGAGCTTTGAAGGCCCTTTCTTCATCTTCAGAGTTTGCCTCCTATCGTAAATAATTGGGGTTTTGACCAAATTGCCTATTTAGGTCTTGTTTTCCAGGACTTAAAGGCAAGCAGTGACCCGAAGGATGTTCTTTCCACCTCTCAGTTATTACAGGCTTGCACTGAGCATCCTTCAGCTCCTGGTGCTGGGACTTAGTTTAGTTCAGCATCTTGCAGAATCGGCTCAAATGGTCCTAGTTTAGTAAGGAATACTTTGACCCAAAAGTCAAAGCAAATCCTTGAATTCTAATTCATAGAATCACAGAATCCCAGACTGGTTTGGGTTGAAGGGACCTTAAAGCTCATCCAGTTCCAACCCCTGCCATGGACAGGGACCACTTCCACTGGAGCAGCTTGCTCCAAGCCCCTGTGTCCAACCTGGCCTTGAACACTGCCAGGGATGGGGCAGCCACAGCTTCCCTGGGCACCCTGTGCCAGCACCTCAGCACCCTCACAGTAAGGAACTTCTTCCTTATCTCCAACCTGAACTTCCCCTGTTTCAGTCTGAACCCATCACCCCTTGTCCTATCACTGCAGTCCCTGATGAAGAGTCCCTCTCCAGCATCCTTGTAGGCACCCTTCAGGGATAGATACCTCTTCTGGCAGGGAGAATAGGTAAAGGAGAGCATCACAGCACCGTCACAGGAGCTTTGTGCCATCAGCAGCAGATGGGGGATAACCAGCCTGCCTGCATTAGCCTTGTTTCCTCAGGAAATCAGGCTACTGATAGCTTCAGTGAAGGAGACCCATTTGGCAAGGGGTGCCCTGACATGTGCCAAACCACACCACTATCCCCAAGGAACGGCACTGGAGCTTGCTGAGGAGTAGTGGTGCCTTGGTACCCATGAGCAGCCTCCTTCCTTCCTCCAGAGAATCAAGCCATAAAGAGAGGAAAGGCAGCTTTTTAGCAGCTTCTTCTAATGTATAACAGCAATCACACTATATCAGGACCAAAATGTCTTAATATCAGTAATACTTGTTTTTCCCCACAAACTTTTGGACAGTTAGAGCAGGAGCCTTCACCCCCTTACATTCCAATGGAATAACGAAAACTGCCTTTGCTGCTTTCTTCCTTTCCTTGTTTGTAGCGCAGATGAGGGAGGGCAGTTATTGAAATGCCATTCCTAACATTGATGCCTTCTCCCTTTGAATGAAGCAACGAGATGTACTTTATGTCTGAGAGGAGGGCAGGTCCAGGAAGCACTTCCCAGTCCCTCCCAGGTGCTGCGGGACATAGCCATGATTTCTTTCCCATGTCTTTTGTCAATCATTTCAATGGTTGCAAGCAGCCTGCCCTTACACTCCGTGGAATCCATCTCTTTGGGGTGTCTGCATGTTGAAACAGGCTGTGACTTGTCTTCATCCCCAAAGGCACCGGGGTGTCGCGCTGCGCAGGGTCAGAGCGTGGTCCAGCCGGGAAGCCAACGTTGTACAGCTGTAAACCTCCTATAAATAAATTGTGTATATTTTAGCCAGCCTTTAAAGCGCTTGTGTTCTCCCTGAATGCTTTTGATGGGCGCAAGGTGGCTCTGCGGAGCCGTTTGCCGTTGCCTGGTTCACTGGGCTCCATTCGCGTTCTTCTCTCTATGGACTTCGAGACCGAAGCAAAGTGATCTGCATGAAGGCTTCATGCAAGGTTAAACTCGTATTCCGTAGGAACAGGCATGGAGGGGAAGGGTGGCCTCCTTTGGCTATCACCCCTTTGCATCCCATGCCACAGAATCACCACAATGCAGAGAGCTTGGGGTTTTGAGCCTCACTTGCTCTGCAGGATGCTAAAGAGGGCAATACCATGGGCAGAGCAGCAGGAGGATGTGATTTGTGGATGGCTTTCCCTCAGGGAACAAACCTGCACATTGGGAGCATCTGAAAAGCCAAAGCCCATTGCTGCCCCTGGGAGTCTCCAGTATTGCTGCTGTATCCCAAAGTGCTGGTGCTGGGATCTTGTGTCCATGCTCCCATCTTAGCTTCCAGCTGCCAGTGGAGGAGCTGTGTCCTTCAGCAGCCCATCCTCAAAAGCCTGGAGCAGGCTTCTGGAAGAAGACTTCTTACTGCAGGGTGGGATCATCCCCTGGGGCAAAGTGTGCCTCCCAAGTGCTAGACATAGAAGGGAGCATCCTAATCCTCTGCCTCCATCACTGTAATGGCTTGCAAGGACCATTCTTCAAGGGAAGGCCTTATAAACATCCTAATACTCTCCTGAAGGGTGGCATGAGCAGTAGACATGGCTGAGCACCTAAGGGGCTTTGATACTTCACAGAATCATAGGATCATGGAATGGTTGCTGTTGGGAAACTCATCCGGTTCCAACCCCCTGCCATGGGCAGGGACCCCTTCCACTGGAGCAGCTTGCTCCAAGCCCCTGTGTCCAACCTGGCCTTGAGCACTGCCAGGGATGGGGCAGCCACAGCTTCTCTGGGCACCCTGTGCCAGCGCCTCAGCACCCTCACAGGGAAGAGCTTCTGCCTCCTATCCAACGCTGCCTGTCCCTGTGCTGGAGGTGCACACTGACACGAGGTGCACACTGATGTGGGCCGGCAGCATGGGCCAGGCTGCTGGAATTGCTGTGGGACCCCAGCACATCCCAGCACATGGGGACCTGGGGCATGTTCAGAGACCAGCAGCAGGCAGTAGAGTGATGCTCAGCTCCAGGCAAAATCCAGTCCAGGCTCCTCGAGGGTCTTGCAGCATCTCCTCATGCCTCCAGCACTGCTGTCTGCAAGCAGCGTCTGCTCACTAAGGTTAAGGTAAGTAAATTGAAACTGCAAAGCCTCCTTTGACCTGCAAGAGCATCTCCATGGAGAAACAGGCATCCCACCATGGTTGCAAGGTGATGCTGGAATATATTTCCCTTGCATCCCCTACAGCCTGCAGTTTGCCACCCTAATGCACATAGACATTCCCACTGTATGGGTATGAGCCTCCTGCTGCTCAAAAGGACCAGGGATTATTGACAGGCAGGTTGGAACTAGGTGATCTCTAAGGCCCCTTCTAACCCAAACCATTCTACGATAAATCATCTCTGGAGCTTGAAGTCAATGGAGTCCATTCAAAGCTGGCTCCCACAAGAGGACTGGGCAGCAGTGGGGAGTTTCTATGGACTGAATAAGGGACAGAGTGGCTGCGCTGTGATTTCTCCCACATTCCATGTCCCTGGCACGGCTTTGAAGGAAGCAGGTTCTCTCTCATCACTTAGTTCTGCAGTATCACCAGGAAATTCATGCATCCCAGTCCCTGGGAGGGTTTCAGGCCCCTTGGTCCAATGCAGAGCTTAGAAACACCTTGTGTGATCGTACTGCAAATAAAAGGGTGTCTTTGGCACCATTCACTACCTAAAATGCCTAAGGAAAACCCCTTTGTGATGTTTCATAGCACAACTAAAATCCAACCGCACCTTTCTCAGCAGGAAGGAGCAAAGACACTGGCTCAGATTTGGGCAGGGAGTCACCAGGTCAGAGTTAAGCTTCTGGGTAAAACCTCAGCTTTGAATTTCCTGGTCCTCGAGGGTTTTTCTATCCCAGCTTTCACATTTACAAGCACAGTGTGGTGCATTCAAAGCAGAGCCTGTCAGCTCCTGGCCCCATCCCACAGGACATCAGTATGGTCCTTTCCACAGCAATGGGAACTCTTTGCATGGGGTCCTCCCAGCCGCCCCTTTGCTCAAGAGGCCATCAGGGTTTGAAAAGGCAGCATAACCTGTACCTGAGCTCTGCATGGGTACCGTGGTCTGGGGCAGAGCACTTGGTGCATCCCAGAGCGTGAGCAGCAGCTCAGGGAGGGGATCCTGCCCCTCTGCTGTGTGAAGGGGAGACCCCCCCTGCAGCCCTGATCCAGCTCTGGGGCAGCAGCACAAGAGGGATGTGGAGCTGTTGGAGCGAGGCCAGAGGAGGCCATGGAGCTGCTGCGAGGGCTGGAGCAGCTCTGCTCTGGAGCCAGGCTGAGAGAGCTGGGCTGGGGCAGCCTGGAGAAGAGAAGGCTCCTGAAGGGGAGACCTTAGAGCAGCTCCAGTGCCTGAAGGGGCTGCAGGAAACCTGGAGAGGGGCTTGGGACAAGGGCCTGTAGGGCCAGGCCAAGGGGAATGGCTTGAACCTGCCCGAGGGGAGACTGAGCTGAGCTCTTAGGCAGAAGCTCTTCCCTGTGAGGGTGCTGAGGCGCTGGCACAGGGTGCCCAGAGAAGCTGTGGCTGCCCCATCCCTGGCAGTGTTCAAGGCCAGGTTGGACACAGGGGCTTGGAGCAAGCTGCTCCAGTGGAAGGGGTCCCTGCCCATGGCAGGGGTTGGAGCTGGAGGAGCTTTAAGGTCCCTTCCAACCCAAACCAGGCTGGGGTTCATTCTGTGACCCCGGCTCTCGCAGTGTCCGTACTGCAGGTGTCACACTCGCATTCCCACCCCCCCGCTCCAGCGCCGGCTGCATCCCGGCTCCTCCCCCATAAGAGGCTCAGCGCAGGGCGGGCTCTGCCTCGCTCGGAGCCGGAGGCAGCGCGGCTCCGCGCCGGGCACCAGCGCCCCTTCCCCGCCGGCCCCGGCCATGCCCCGCTGAGGTGAGGCGGAGGGGACGCGGGGTGCAGCGGGAGGGACCCCGCTGAGCGCTGGGGATGCTCCGGGTGGGCTGCGGTGGCTGCCGAAGGGGGTGCGATGGGGTGGGACGGAGCGGGGGTGCCTCCGGTGGATAGAGCGTGGGGAAGGGGTTGGGAAGGTGGGAATGGGACGGGGGGGTGACAGCACCGCGGACGTGCCAGCAATGCCCCGCAGCGCCGAGCCGGCTCCTGCAGCGCGGATTAGAGCCTCGGTCGTTTCTAGCTGCTGCTTAATTGCGCTTGGCTCAGCCTGCAGGGACTGGGCAGAGGGTGGGGGTCCGGTCCCCCCACCCACCCCGTTCTGCTCTATGCAGCCCCCGACCCCTTTGCTCCATAGCTCTTTCGTGTTCAGGACTTGCTTAGGGATGGGGAGAGGCTGTTGGGGTGTGCCCGATGCACGGGTGGCGGTGCCATGGGTGTCCCCCCAAACCCGTCGCTACTGGGACTCTTTTACCCTCTCCCTGCTCTGACCCAGCTCCGGATGCTCCACTCAGGTTCTTAAAGCACAACCTGATCCCAGGGAGCCGGTGCTGCTCTTCAGGGGGCAGCAGGAGTTTTCCCTGCTTGCAGCATAGCTTTGCTTGTGTCGGGGCTGTGCTCAAACCTAGGATCATGGAATACCGCGTTGGAAGGGACCTCAGGGACCATCTGGTCCAACCTGTCTTGGCAAAGCATCACCTAGGCACGATGTCCCAGCACCCTGTGCAGCCCAATCCTAACAGTGCCCAACGCTGGGGAGGTTATTCCAATGGATTTTTGTTCCCATTGTGAAAAATTCCCCCTTGTGTCCAGTTGGGAACTCCCCAGGTGTAACTTGTGCCCATCACCCGTGTGTTCTGGTCACACCAGTGCTGGTAAGCAGTGCCCAGCACAATCATTAGGACCATCCCTGGGCAGGGATGGAGACCCTCTGTAGGGCAGGTGATTCCCACAAAGCAGTCTGCATTCTGCTGCCTGGCTTGGGAGTACAGTGTTGGGTGCATGGGCTGTGCTGGACCAGCTGAGCACCATCCCAAAGAGCAGCCCCAGGCTTTCCTAGGGTAGTAACTGTCATGTTATCCTAAGGAAGGTGGAAGTGGCATCTCTTGGTGTCTCTGGGGAGAAGGGTGTACGATGGAGAGCCTGTTTCATAGGCAGCATGGAGGAGACTGAAAGGCAACAGGGCAGGGGGTATAAGATTGCCTGGTTGCCCCTGGCTGCTAAATCCCCCTGCAGAAGGAGCTGGAGGTGATCTTCCCACCCTCCCACGCTGTTGTGTTGGTGTGAGAGTGCTCCTCTCCATAGGCATGTCTAAGAGCCAACCTTATGGGGTTAACCTGTGCTTTACACTGTTGAGGACATGGATTGTGTTGTGAGCTGACTCCTCTCCCTCTCCACTACATGATGCTCTGGGTCCTATCTCTCCTTCCATGATGTGAGGGACCATAAGGTCCCAACAGTGGTGGTGTGAAGGTCCCTGTGAGACCCCTGTACAAGTGTCCCTGCTCCCCTGTGCCTAAGCTATCCCAGTGTCAGCAGAATAGGGACAAACATGGTTGATATCCAGGACAGCATTTCCCTCCTGTTGGCTGATGGTCAAAACTGCTTTCACCTTTGGCTTTGCAGTCTCTGAGCTGTACCCATTTCCCAATGTATTTGTCTAAATCATGTTTAATGTTCGAGATGTGGTGATGGGCTGGGGACAAACTGTGCCTTGTTGAAACATATGAGGACCAGAATCTCTTCTTGAGCTTTTTGGGGTGAGACTGGAACAACGTCATGAGCTACAACATCTCCCTGTTGACACGAACATTTATGAGACCTGAATCCTTAGGGATGAACCTCTTTTCCAAGGCAATATCATTCCCAACTCATTTCCCCTCCCCAGAGCAGTCGCTTCATGTCCCTCACTATGAAGTTTCATGGGCCGGGAGGGCTGTGCAGTGTTTCTGTCTTATGCTGTGCTAACTTGTGACTTCCCAATCCTCGGGTTGCCATGGAAAGGATTATGCTGTGATTAATGAAGGCATTGTCAGCTCCGAGGTCTTTTCAAAGCCTTTCCTGGAGCTGCTGTGAGCGGCTTCCAAGCCCAGCAGAAAGGGGCTGGCAGGAGAAGTGGCTTCAAGCCACATCCTAGGCATGGTTTGGGTGGTCAGCACTGATACCAAGCCCTCGGGTAGCGATTGTTGCCTCCATTCCCTGCCAGATCAGTCCCTTTTGAGGGTGAGAGGAGGAATGGGGACCTTTATTGTTCTCTTGGGGCAGAGCCAAAGCTTTCTTGCTCCCGAAGTGCAGTGGGACAAGTGTCACTGTACCAAGGGGCTGGCAGGATGTGGAGGCAGAGCATAAGGGAGCTTTGCACCATGAAACACTTCTCTCTGCTCAGCACCATGCAAGGAGAACCTGGTATGGGATGAGCTGATGTGTTTGTGACTCTCTGGTCCCGGGGCTGCCCCAGCATTGTCCATGCTTAGGGGGTGCATCCATCTGAGCCCCTGTTCTAGCAGTCAGGATGCTGGGATAGAGCAGAGTGTGCAGTTCCTCCCACTTCACAAGCAGAGAGCAATGTGTGGAGATGCAATGAAAACCAGGCATGTGAAGTAGATTGAGTGCTGAATCAACAGACACAAGTTCAAAATCCAAAGCCAAAATACCCCTAGGGACCAGAGATTCATTTCTCCCCAGCTTAAGCAGCTAGGTCCGAACTCCCACCTCAGCCTAGCTGGGATCCTAAAGCTGAGTGCTTGATCCCATTGGCAACCTCAGGGCAAGTGCAGAAAGGCATTGAGCTATTCCTGGACCTCAGTCCCAGTGAGCTCCTTCCAGAGCGTGTTGGTTCAGCTGCTGCCATCCCCACCAGTTAACCTGGTGTAACATCCCAGTGTTTACCCAAGGCACTGATGACCTGAACGCAGTTTCCACATGCATGAAAGGAGTTAAAACTTACACTTTGGGTTGATTATAGTCTTAAAAGCTGCCTTGGGTGGAGGTTTCCAGTGCTCTGGCTGATGTGCAAGCATCCTGGCCTCCAACTTGAAGACCTGTCTGATCTTCAGGTCCTTCCCAACCCTGTTCTATGATGTGTGGAGGAAGGAAGACTTGCAAAAGAACCTGCCCGAGGTTATGCTGAGTGTTGAGAGAGCCCAGCTTCTGACTCCTGCTCTTTCCTATGCCTGTCTGACACTATGGGGACACTGCTGAGAGGGGGCTTCACCCCAGGAGACAAAGCCCCTCGCTGCAGCAGTTCCTAACTTGGATATGGAAAGATAAACCTGGGATGATGGCAGAGCTGGGGAGAGGATGGGCACCACAGGAGGGGTGGCAAAGGGGGATAAGGAGAAAGAGGGAGATATCAATGAAGGTGGCTGTCAAGGGCTCCATGTGAAAGTAAAGACTTTCAGGAATGGTTTAGTGCTTGCAGGTTGCAGCTCTGGAATACCTTCCACCTGAGAGAGCTTTGCAAATGCTGAGTAGGATTCACCTGCCCCACACACTGAGGCATGGGGAAAAGGTGCTCTGAGCGCTACCTGGGCTGTGCTAGACTTGGGAGCAGGATCCATCTCTTGGGACCAAGTCCTTGGGTGTTCCCAAGGTATCTGTCATTGTCCAGAGAGCACATTTCACTCCTCTGTTGACTTAACTCATAGAACCCCAGACTGGTTTGGGTTGGAAGGGACCTTAAAGCTCATCCAGTTCCAATCCCTTGCCATGGGCAGGGACACCTTCCACTAGAGCAGCTTGCTCCAAGCCCCTGTGCCCAACCTGGCTTTCAAGTCATTCAGAATGAAAGAGACAAAACATACACAGGGAGAGGCATGAGAAGGAAACCAGCATTACACCATTGTGAGTCCCTGCTGTGCCTGCAGCTGGAATACTGTGTGTTTTCTGGTCCCTCCGTCCCCAAAACAACATACACCCACTGGGGATGAAGGGGGCCTATAGGGATGCTGGGGAGGGACTCTTCATTAGGGACCGTAGTGATAGGACAAGGGGTAATGGGTTAAAACTGAAACAGGGGAAGTTTAGATTGGATATAAGGAGAAAATTCTTTCCTGTTAGGGTGCTGAGGCACTGGAATGGGTTGCCCAGGGAGGTTGTGAATGCTCCATCCCTGGCAGTGTTCAAGGCCAGGTTGGACAGAGCCTTGGGTAATATGGTTTAGAGCGAGGTGTCCCTGCCCATGGCAGGGGGGTTGGAACTGGATGATCTTAAGGTCCTTTCCAACCCTAACTATTCTATGATTCTAAGGAAGGATGGTCAGAGGGGTGGAACAGCTTCCACGTGAGGAAGGATTGCTTAGACAAAGACTCCAAGCTGAAAAGAGAGGGAAGAAGGTACATTATTGATCCTGGAGGATCATGCTGTTGTGGTGAAGGCAAAAGGAGGGTTCTCCTTAGTTTTCCTTTGTAATATAAAAATCAGGGAGCAGCAAGCAAAGCTTATGGAGAGCAAAAAGAGTTCACACTGACTGGCAACTGTGATAGTTCTTACTGCAGGACCCCATTAAAGTAATGATGGGTTAAAAAAGCACTCAGACAAATTCATTCATGAAAAGCTATTAAATATATATATTAAAGAGAAAAGCTACCTTTTTTTTTTGGTTTTAGAAGGTCTTGAGCTGCAAATTATTAGTGTCTGGGGGAGTATTATAGAGTAACGCCACTAAATCTTCACCCTGCTTTTACACTTCTCCCTAGGCATCCTCTGTTGCTCACTGTCAAATAGAATAGATGGGGAGCTCGCAAGCTGGATCCAGTATGGGCTTTTTTTATGTAGGACTCCTGAGCTTGTGCTTTCACTCCCCAGGAGTTGTTCATGCTCCAAGATCCTGCTTGGAATAACTCTTCTGGGGTGTTTGTCTTGGAGAAGATAAGGTGTCAACCTCAGCTTTAGCCACACTGCCATGAGGATGGAGGAAAGTAAAGCCTGCTCTCTTCCATCTCCATTGAAAACACTTCCATGCCAGCAAATACAGGGAGGAGCTT